CTCCCACCCGCCCCCAGTCCTTGCTCAGCTTGGCTGATCTTGGTTCCACAAGCACACTCTCCTGGACCTGGTACACAGGAGACCGGCGGACGAGCACAGCTCCGGGAGGGCGCCCCGCGCCGCTGTCAGGTTCAAGCACCAACTCCGTGAACATCAAGCATCATGTTCAGGTGGCGCAGGGTGTCTGTGTGTTCCTGCTCCATCAAGCGTCCTCTCCGGCAGCTCAGGCGCTTCAAAGGTGATGAGCCCCCTCCAGGCTGGGGGGGGCAAAGCCCCATAAGGTGTGTATCTCAGGCTGGGGGCCGCCTCTGCTCCCAGAGGGAATGGCCCCCAGCATGGCCCCGGGTGGGGAGCCCACACACACGCGGCGGCTGCTTGCGGAGCACAGGGAGCCCCCCGAGCTGCTGGAGCCCACTGAGGTTGTCCTTGGTCGAAGGACCATGTGGGTCCGAGTGGGGGCCATGGCGCTGTGCGGAGGGGACCCCACAGTGAGCAGGACAGCCCTGGAGCTGGCTGCTTCTCCCCCAGGAGGCACCAGGGCCACACCGCAGGCTCCTATATCAATTGGTCGTTCTGTATTTAAACTGTCTGTGCTGCCCTGATGTCCACCTAAAGGTGTCTTGACTTGTTGATCCGATAGTTTCCCAGTACTGACAGATCTGCCAAACACTGCCTTGCTTTGCTGCTCAGACATCTGCCTCTCCCTTCCTGGCAGTAAGAGACAATGAGAGCATTCTCATGGGTCATCCCCATCTTTAGATTGCCCTTCAGAAGGCCCATGGCGAGGAACCAATGCTAGCAGGTTGGAAGATGTTTGTGTTTTGGGGATTTTGAAAGGAGCTGTGGTCTTGGTAGGAGAGCCAATTATTGTTGGTAAAGGGGTTTTAAAGAACCAGTCAGAACTCCGTGGAGAGGACCCAGGTGTTCGGTGGGAGAAGTCCCCAGGCTGCCCGGCCTACTGGGCTGAGGGGAGTGACTGCACCCAGCCCCCGTGTAGGACGGGCACACGGGGTCGGAGTGTTGCTTTCTGAGCTTCTGCTTGTGCTGGTAGATGTCAGTGAGGCTGGGGGCGCTCTGCAGTCTAGCACCCAAGAAGAAAGACTGTGGTAACTGAGACTGCGGCACTGAAGAACCTGAAGAGTTCCTCCTCCCGGACTCCTGGCCCTGCAGGCGCCCACAGCAGCAGTGACTCCATGGCTCTGGAATGGCACCAACCAAAGGGGAAGGTGAATAAGGCCTGGAAGACCCAGTGGAGAGTCTTCGTCCGGCTGTCTGTGCTGTGTCTGCGGGCGCTGGGGAGCTGGCTCCCACCCGGAGGAAGCCCATATGGCTGGTGTTCGACCTTCGCACCACTGCAGACCTTGGAGAACCATGTAGATTTGTGCCAGAGCTGCCAGTAGATGTAAGATTCTGCTCCATGCGCTGATAATTCTTTATCTGAGTAGGAACTGGAATTGTTGCTGTTTCACTGTGAGGTGACACAGTAGGCGGACACTGTCCTCCAAACACCAAGAACTCATTTGAAGCTCGTCTGCCGGCAGTTCCCATTGGCATATCATATGAGTGGTCTGACGAGATGTTGTGTGGAACCATAACAAGGTCATCCGTGTCACAAGAAGAGTTCTTGCTACTAGTACTGGCAGAATCTTTGGACATTTGTAGATAGTTGGGAGGACCCAATGGTGGGGAGGATAGGTTTTCTTCCTGAATATGTTGCATATCTGCAAGGGATGGTGGAGAGGCAAAGCGACAAGGTGGAGAGCTGCCACAGGCGCTTCCCAAGGCAGAGCCAGCACACAGGGGCACGGGGACGGGGCAGGATTTTTTTTACTGAAACTTGCTCAAGAAAAGGATGGCTAAAAAACGCTTCAAAGTCCATTCTATCTTTTTGGTTTTTCTGAAGCAAACCCAAAAAGAAGATTTAGCCAAATAAGGGGGATGTTTCTCTGGGGATGCTAGGGCATTAAGCTTCTGTGTTTTTCATAAAACATCCTTAAGTCTTGAGGACTATTGGCCTGAAAAGGTGGTTTTCCAATGAGGCATTGGTATATTACTGTTCCTATGCTCCACAAGTCTGCCTTAGCATCATAATGTTGAGACATGATAACCTCAGGAGCCATGTACATTGGGGATCTGCACAGTGTTGCAGCCATCATGTTACTATGTAGGTAACGAGCAAAACCAAAATCCGCTATTTTGATGTGAATACCACTGACACCGGACTTCCTGCGATTGGCATACGGCAGCAAGATGTTCTGTGGTTTGAGATCCCTGTGGATGATGCCTTTGCTGTGCAGAATCCGCATGGCAGCTGCAATCTGGTGCAGAAACACGCTGATGGTGTCTTCACTAAGAGTTCCTTTAGCTTGCAAATAATCTGCCAGGTCTCCACCATTGCAATACTCCATCACCAGGAAGACAGAGTTGGGTAATTCCTGAACATCATAGAGTGCTACGATATTTTCATGCTGAAGTTCCTTTAAGATTTTAATTTCCTTCCCCAGCAGTATTTGTGATTTTGACAAGTTCTTTTTATTAATACTTTTAATAGCTACCTCCCAATCAGTTTTCTGGCGGTGCCGCCCTCGGAAGACCACGGCGAAGGCCCCGTGTCCCACGAGGTCCCTCTTGCAGTACTCGAAGTCGCCCACCACCTCCATGGCCGCACCGAGGGCGGGGGGGCGAGCGGCCGGGATCAGCACCGCGGTCCCACCGGCCGGGAGCGCGCCCGCAGGCTGCGGGGCTGGGGCGGCACGGCCCCGGGGCCGGGAGGACGTTAGGCGGGAGGCCGGAGCGAAAACGTAAAGCCGCCGGGGGGGGCGGGGCGGGTAAGGGAAGCCTGGCCCGGGGCCCCGGGCCGGTTCCTCATGCCGGGGCGGCCGGGGGGGCGGGGGTTCCCCGGGGAAAGGGGGCCTGGGGGGCCCCCCCGGCCGGGAACGGCCATTGGGCCCCCCGGGGAAGCCCACCCGCCGCCCCCGGAAAAA